ACCCTTCACACATGAGGGAAAGCCAGGGGTGGTAACCAAAGAAGGGGCAGGAGCCCCCACTACCGGGAAAGAAGATAGGGGAGAGTGGGGGTGCTTCCCAGAGACTCCCACTTGGCGTCCGGAGGGATAATATCAGGGGTGGACTTCTTGGAGGAATGAACCTCCCACTCCCCCAACCCTGAGCCCGCGCCCTCACAGGACAGTAGCGCCTTCCGCAAATGACTGCTGAGTTGAGGTGCCTTCTCTGGCTGAGTCAGGGTTCACTAAGGACCAGAATGACCCCTCAACAGGCTAAGGCTGGAGGAAGTCTGGTTGTTCCCCTCTCAGGAGGCCAAAGGCAGGGCCTCACAAGGGAAACTGAAACACCAACTGAGCAATCCCAGGCCAGGAGACCATTCCGGCCTCCCTGGACCCAGGTTCCAGGAACGAGGAGGGCAGGCCTGAAGGGCAAGGTAGGGGCACTCAGACCTGGCTTCCAAGGACTCGCCAAGGATCTGGCACCGCGCTGGGTCCTGCTGGGCTGCCCCAAGGAGAATCACTTATTCATTCAACCATCATTTCCCGACTGACTGCTGTGTGCCAGGCCTGGAGCCAGAAATCAAGGATACAGAGCTGGGCAGGGCAGTCCCGGCCCGGGGGTTCCCGGAGACATTTAGTATGCCAAAGCACAGCGGCCAAGAGCCGAGTACTGGGTGTACATAGCGCAGAGGAAGTGGGTTCAGGAAAGTCGGCCACTGACGTTCAGACCTACTTCCCCTCAGGAAGCGTAGAGTCATGTTGGGGAGTCCCAGGTACCACCAGGAAGAGCCAGGCGGCACCACACAGCCAGGTGGCACCACACAGTGGGATATGACTCGTGTCTGGTGGCACAGACACATGCTGGAGAGCACAGAGGGCCCATGCCATAAGACACACTTTTGTTTTTTCCTCATGTTCCCCTGTGAGGTCGTTACCATTATTATCCCCAATTCTCAGATTCAGAAACTGAGGCTCAGAAAGAGTCACATAGTGAGGAACGAGCAGGGTGAAGATTGTGGCTCCGAGTCCAATTCTTCACCACCATGCCACCCCATGAACCTAAGGGGCAGCCAGGTGGAAGGGAGGTGAGGGTGCTTCTAGTGGAGGAATAAGCAAGAGTGAGGAGAGGGGACTGATTGTTGTACGTCTGAAGAAGCCACCCACTTCCACTCTGTATCAAGAATCTGTGTTGTGAACGTGTGCATCTGTGCCCTATTTTACGAAGGACAGATCCTGGCTCTAGAACCCTCTGAGACCCAAGGAGAGAATAGGCCATTAGCAGAGCAGAAGGAAAGCCCAGAGAGGAGAAGGCACTTACAGAAGGTCACACAGCCTGCAAACTGAGGACTTGGAATGAACTTCATGACCCAGAGGACAGGCCTCTTCCCTCCCCTCAGCTGCTTCTCATAACAGCACAGAGTGAATCAGCTGTGGACAGGAAAACCATGGTGGAGGGGGAAGCCCAGGGGTGAGGCAGGAACCAAACACCAACTGGGTCTGTGGTTGGCCTCCTCCTCACGGGCAACATCAGGGCGAAGGGAAGAGGGAGGCGATGTGTCCCATACGCTTATGTTTACCTCTGGGCTTCCCTCCTGGCTCCTTGGATTGAGGCTTGGAGGAGAGGAAGTGGTGGGCAGGGCAGTTCCCACAGAGATGAAACCCCTGACCCCTGCCTGTTTCCAGACTCTTTCCTCCCTCCTGCCTCCCCCAGAGTCAACTCCTGAGGGTTGGATGGACTTGATTACATCACAACCGCCCCCTCTGGTGTTCCCCCGGGGGTGGAGGAAGTGGGTAGAACAGTTTGGAGCAGGGGGTGAAGGCCAAGGCAAAACCAGGTGGTGCCAGCTGACCCCAGAAGCTCCAAATCCAAAGGAGCGCTCGAGGCTTGGGTCTGCTCCGCCCGTGCCAGGAGGGCCTGTCCGGTCCTCAGGGAAAACGGCTTGGGCCCAGGGTTGGGGGTGGAGGGTAAATGGGGAGGAGAAGCTTCCATTCCGTGGCTTAAAAGTCTGAGGCCGAGAAAGAAAGGGGACTGCCCCACGTGGCAGAAAGTTCCGAGGAGCCTGGAGGAACCCACATCCACCCACACACGCAGAAAACTGGTGCCCCCACGGGCTAACCTCTGGCCCCGGCCCTCCCAGGGCTAGGGCTATGAGGGGAAGAGCCACAGGCATTTCTCCCCATCTTCCCAGCTCCCAAACCCACTGCTGACGGGCTAAAGCTCTGCCACTTGGCCCAGGTGCCTCCCATCATGGCGAACACAGGGGCCTCCTTGGGTGGCTCCTCCTCCCTATCACTCCGTAGCACTCATCCCGGCACCTCCCCTGCCCACCCCGTCCAGCACCTTCTGAGCCCCTGCTATGTACCGTGATCCAACCTGGGTGGAGAACAGAAAGAAACACAGGGACACTCTCACTTCTCCCACGTCACCTGGGTCCCTCCCACTCCTCTGCTGGTGCCTTTTCTAAGCCCCAGATGCAGATACCCCCAAAACTCCCCGACCCCCTCCTTCCCTTGTCACCACAGCCATCAGCTCCTTATCCCTTAACCGCTGGCTGGGTCACCCACTCCGGCACATCTGGCAGATCGCCTTCCCTAAAGTGCCACTCAGACTGTGTCACTCCCATGCTCCAGTGGCTCTCACTTTCTACACATCAAATCCAAATGTCTCACCTTGGCATTCAAGGCCCTCCACGAGTTGACCCAACCTACCTGCACAGTCCCAGCTCTTCAGCTGGACTGATCAGCCAGAAGTTCCTTTCAGTCTCCTTGAGCACTCTGACCTCCTTGCCTCTGACCAGACATTTTCCGCTGCCCCAACACTGTCTTCCTTGTGGCTGCTGAAACCTTCTCTCCCCCGCTCCCGCCCCCACCCAATCCGTCAGGCTCACCCAAACTCCACCGCTTCCATGAAGCTTTCCTAATGACCCCTCTAGCCCTTTTTCCATTTATCTCCTGCAAACTGTAAGCAGCTAAAGATGGGATCAGTGTGTCACCGCTGGTCACTCATCATGTGGGGAGGAGAGTGGCGCATACGACTTTCCAGGCGATGTTTACTAAGCATCTCCCTCCACAGGCTCCTCCTACCGACTTCTCCCTCTCCACCACACCGAACTTCAACCTTATGTCAGATGCTTGGAGAGGGGAGTCTGTAGCCCCAAGTTGACTCAAGCCCAATCTGGACTTGGAAGCCCAGGTGGAGAGTCTCACCAACTCTAAGAAGTGCCCTCATTTCCTGCCCTGCTTTCTCCAGTGCCTCACCTCTAAGCACCACGTCTACCCCATACTTTCCCTCTCTCTCTCTCCTCCATTTGATGCAGCCTTCAATCAGACTGTGTCCATTGTATTTCCTAGCTGGTTCTAAAGCGTAGGGCTCATCTCCCCAAAGAGATGCTGGCAGCCGGCATACAGCATTCCCAATCTCCTCTGGTGCCCATCTCTGATCAGACGGATAACAGATGCCCACACTGCCTCATACCTCCACCCAAGCCCAGTGTGCAGTAGAGGAGCTGGATTCGAGCCACCATAGCAGTACAGACCCATGAAATCCCATCTGGCCTGGAGCCCTGGACCTGAGGTACCCTCTCCCGAAGGACCATAGTGCGGATGGGGAGTCCTCACTGTCAGCAGCTCAAAGTGAAGGCAGAGACCAGGTCGGGCTAGTTCACCTCGGAAACAACACCTAAGAGATAGTAGGTGCTCTGGACACATTTTTGTGTTTATTTCACTGGACACCCAACCAACCTCAAGCCATATTATAGAAAACTCAGCCGCTCTTTGGTTCAGATGACAATCTGAACCTCAACCCTGAAATGGACAGCGTGATGCTGGTGGCAGGTGGCAATTTCTGGCTCCCACAGGGTCAGAAGGGGATGCGGCCAGCCTCTGACCCTCCAAATCCCAGCTCATTCCCAGGCAGGAAGCCAGTCCACCACCTGCCCGTCCACATCAGAGCAGCTGGCATGGAGTGTGGCCTCGCTGAGAGCCTGGCATCTTGCTAAGCACTGTGTTCTCATTATTCCATTGAGCCCTCTCCACCACCATTGGGTACTGTCCTTACCCCCACTTTACAGATGAAGAAACTGAAGCTTACAGGGAAGAGCAATCCAAGTCAGTTTGGTCCCAAAGCCCACCTACCACGGCCCTGGCACAGGGAAAACCACAACCACCAAGGACAGAAACCTCCAGAACCAGGAACTAACCTAAAACCTTGGGCATGCAGCAAGAACCCCAGGCCCTGGGCTTAATCTGGATCCAAAGTCTGGTGGGGTTTCCCCTTATCTTTCCCATTCACCGGATGAGAACTTGTCCCCTGCTTTCTGCCCTGGCCCCCCCCAGGCCAACTCACCTTGGGGGTGGGGGAGAGCCCCTGGGAGGTGGACAAAAACCCCCTTGAGTTTCTGGCCCAAAGTCATACTGAGCTTTCAGAGTTGGGGGGAGGGAAGACTGAAAACTCCCTGACTTGGGCTCCACTCCCTCTGGGCTTGTGGGTTCAAGCCCCAACTGAGTAACTAGTGTGGGTTTTGAAGCAATTCGCTTCACGCTCCCGAAGTCGTTGCTTTGCTCAGTGCCGCTCGGCAGGCAGAAAACTGCAGTCTGAGCAACGCGATTTGCATGTCTGGCTGAACTGCACTTGGCTCTCACCTGCCAGCCCTCACCTTCCGGGGTTTTAGTGAGAAAGGGCAACAACGGGACCATGAAGTTCAGTTGGTTCAACTTCCCTCCTTTTCCTGGAACCCGAGAGGTCCAGAGCCCAGGGGGAGGGATCTGCCGAAGGACACACACACACAGCTGGTGCATGGCGGAGCTGGAGAACCGGGGTTCAGGACTCCGGAACTTAAGCTTCTTCTCCACCACCAGCTGCCTTCGCGGCGGCCAGACCTGTCACTTGTTCCAAGAAAGCTGCCCAAGCGCGCCCTGGAAGTGGTGGCGGAAAACTAACTTTGCTCCCGGCCAGCGTTCCCGGACCCCCTGCTCCTCCTCACCTGCTGGTTTGGCTTTCTGTTCGGCGCAGCAAGCCTGGGGTCGCGCGATCGCTACCCGGTCAGCGTCCGGCTGTGCAGAGACAGGCTCACCCACTGCCCGCGGTCCTCAGAGAAAGCAGAAGCCTCTGCCAAGCCCCGCCCCCGCCCCCGCCGAGGACACGCCCCGCCCCCTGCCTTCCCGAAGCCAGGTCGCCTTTCAGGCTCCTCCCACCTGGTCCTCCCCGACTCCGAACCCGCTCGCTCCGCCCTGGACCCGGCTGGGGTGGAGCCCCGCCCCTTTCCCCGCCCCTTTGCCCCGCTTCGCTGCGGCCGCCCAATCTACACCGACAAGCCCCGCCCCTTTCCCGCCCACTTCCCCGCCCCTTTAGGCCGCCCAATCCACACCGCCAAGCTCCGCTTCTTTCGGCGTCCAATCTACACGCCAAGCCCCAGTACGCAGAGGCTGAGTCCGACCCCAGGCCCGCCCCCGCAGCTCGGTCCTCGGTGCCCTTCCAGCTTCCTGGACCCCCGGGATACAGCCTGGCTCCCCAACTGGCGGGGCTCCGCGCTCGAGCCCTGCAAGGTGGGGAGCCCCACTCGCAGAGCTACCTAAACCGGGCCCGTCCCTCCTCGGCCTTCCCAGTCTTGCCCTGGCCCCCCCGCCCCTCTGGGAGGAGGCCACGCCCCTCCCTCAGCGCCTACCCAATTCTGTCCGGTCCTGCCAACCCGAGCCCGGCGGGCGGGCGAGCCTCCGGCCCCCACGCTGGCATCCCCGGGCGGGTGTATGGGGGTGACCGGTGAACGAACGGTGTGGGAGCGGTTTGCGTTCCAAGTCCGAACCTCTATCATCAGGAGGCGGCTTGGGCCCAAGCACTTTTTGAAAAGACGGACAGCTACCACTGATAGAACTCTGGCCAGGTGCCCGGCTCTATGCAAACTCTGTAAAAAAAAAAACAAAAACAAAACAAACAAACAAAAAAAAACTACTGGCTCCTGAATTTGCACAACTCTAGGCCGATATTGCGCCCATTTTACCCAGGAGCAACCTGAAGCCAAGGAAAGGGAAGTGGTGGAGGTGTGAGAGGGATCCAGCCCCAAGCCTTGAATCATAGGCTTGACGCTGCCCCAGCTTGCCTGGACTGGCTGGCCCCTGTGGAAGTGGCCTGGCCCAGCCAGATGTTGGGGCAATGCCCAACAGGCTGACTGAGGTGAAGAAGGAGGAGGCATGGGTTGATGAAGGGGTGGGGACGGGAGGGATGGCAGGAGGGATGGTGGACCAGAACCCTCAGAAGGTGACTTTCTCCCTTGAGAAGACAAAGCCCAGAATTCAGATGGGCTGCAAAGGATCTCCAGATGGCTGTGGTGCCCCCACCTGCATTCCAGCCCTCTGCATTCTCACACCCCAGGGACTGGCCTCAGGAAGGTTTCGGAGGGCGGGTTACAGACCAGGGCCGTTGACTTGCGCAGTTGTCAAAGCTCTTTCATTCCCATTATCTCATTGGAATCTCCTGTGGAAGTCATTCTGCGTGGGTGGAGGAGGAAATTGGATCTCAACCAGCATAGTCCTTCCCAAAAAATGGTCCCTGCACCGCAGCAGCACCTGGGAACTTGCTAGGTATGTGTGCTTTGGGGTCCCATCCCAGCCCTACTGAGCGAGACATTCTGTCGGAGGAGGAGCCTTGCAATTTGTTTTAACAGGGTCTCGAGGTGATTTTGAATCCCACTCAAGTTTGAGAAGAAGTTAGAGTGGTCGGATGATACAGACCACACAGGCTCCTGGGAACCTGGTGGCCCAAGGCAGGTCCAAGCATGCAGAGAATTCTTCTGAGTTCATATGAGCTCAAAACTGATGACCATTTCAGGGAAGCGAGATCTTAAATGCTTCAGAGGACAGGTTAACCGTTTCCATTATGCACATGGAATTACGTGGGAAGTAAGAAAGGTTACAGGACGGTGAGGTGAGAGCAAGGTGGGGATTGGATTACAGGGTAGATAACAAGATTCTGTGCCTTCTTGAAGGCGGTTATGATTATTTCAAAGATGTGTATATTTAGATGCACAGGGACGGAGCTTGCTTAAGGCAAAAAACAAAAACCCTTTTACTAAAAAAAGTTATGTGCCTGGCAGGTGACTACCTACCCTCCATGACCTGCCAGTTAGGAATTTATGACCAGATCACCATGTGAGGTGACTTTCTATAGAGCCCCTTTTCATCTACAGGACTTCACTTTTGTGAGATAAGTCCTTAAAGGGGTAATACCCTGTTTCCCCAAAAATAAGACAGTGTCTTACATTAATTTTTGCTCCCAAAAGATGCGCTAGGTCTTATTTTCAGGGGATGTCTTATTTTTCCATGAAGAAGAATACGGTACACATTTATTGTTAAATGAAAATAAAGGAAATTTATTACCTGTGTACGGTATGGTAGTACGGTAGTTGTCAACACAAACCAGACAAACTGAATCCTACAGTATCAAGAATTTATTCATTTATTTAATGACAATCATGTCATCATCTTCTGGAACATCATCATAACAATCCAATTCCTGACTTTCCTGGTGAATTTCTTGTGACTCCATTTCTTTCAGAATCAGTGGACCAAATCTCTCATGTTTAGCCTAGGGGGGCCTTATTTTCGGGGAATGCCTTATATTTCACTCAGAAGGAAACCTGTAAGTAGGTCTTATTTTTGGGGGATGTCTTATTTTCGGGGAAACACGGTACTACCGATGTTGAGAGTGTATATTGAGGATCAACTCTGATAGTGTTCATGAAGCGTCAGCCCACACTTGGACACTGTACGTGCACAACAAATGTTTTTTTCCCAGTAAAAAGTCTTCTTCATAGAATCTCCATACCAAATTGTTCTTCCCATGGAGGGACACCATCCACCCTGCGAGAGGCCGAGAGCCTGACCTGCTCCCAGAGGATGCCACTGCTCCTGGTTAAGGGACACACTGTGAGAACCACGGTGCTACTCTGCCTTGGGCTGGGTTCGCAGCCAACCTATGCAAAATGGGCATAAAATGCCTTCCTCTCCTACTGTGCTCATGCCCTGCCCCTCAAACTGGGTGTGTTGGTGATGGCGATTGGCCGTTGACAAAACAGCTGGATCTCATTGGCCCCTCCCTCCTCCAGTCAGACATCTGATCATGTTAGTCCCAGCTGCTACCCAGGCCTACTTCTGTCACTCTAGATTAGAGATGGGAGCAGCTGTGGCAACATGAAGGGCAGTCTACAGGCAGCTTCTGAAATGCCTGCCATACTCCTGCCACCCGTCCCCACTGGGGCATTGGTCCCGTTCCCTAACATGAACTACCCTAACATGTTAATAGTGCAAATTAAGGCCCACATATCTTACATATAAACTTTTATTTTTTTAAATATATTTTTATTGATTTTTTTTAATTTTTATTTTATTTATTTATTTTTTTTTACAGAGAGATAGAGAGATAGAGAGTTAGAAACATCCATGAGAGAGAATCATTGATCAGTTGTCTCTTGCACACCCCCTACTGGGGATATGCCTGCAACCAATGTACATGCCCTTGACCGGAATCGAACCCGGGACCTTTCAGTCTGCAGGCCGACGCTCTATTCACTGAGCCAAACCCGTTTCGGCTAAACTTTTAACAGACTGGAAAATAAAACATGTTTATTCTCCTGTCTTGAGAAATATTCTTTAATAGAGGCCTGGTGGATGGATTCATGCATCAGTGAGGTCCCTCTGCCTGGCCTGTGGGGATCAGGCTGAAACCGGCTCTCCGACATCCCCCAAAGGGTCCCAGACTGTGAGGGGGTGCAGGCCAGGGCTGAGGGACCCCACCAATGCACGATCGGAGCCAGGGAAGGATGGCGGGAGGGCCCATCTCACACAGTCCCAATCAGCCTGACTCCAGCAGCAAGTTAACTTGCCGGTTGGAGCATCTGCCCCCTGGTGGTCAATGCGCATCACAGTGACTGGCTGAACAAGTGGACAGACACTTAGCATATTTATGCTTTTATTATATAGGATAATGACCAAGAAGGCCATGTTCAAATTTAAAATTCTTGGAATTCTCTGTAGGAACTGACAGTGTGGGGTGAGTCAGCCTTAACTTGATTTTCAGCCCACCCATCTTGATTTTCCTCCTAGCCCCACGTCTTTCCTATGTTACAAGTGGCCTAGACCCAAGCATATAAATATCCCAGCCCATGTGGCCAAACTGTCCACCGGTCTTGCCTATATTCTGTACTTGGTCACCTTTTTAGGGATGCACACAGGGCCACATTGTACCCTCAGAGGGATGATCCTGGGGAAAGTGCTTGTGTAAGCCCTAACACTGGTGTTGGGTCCTCTAGGCAGAGATTTCGGGGGGTTTATATGCCTAAAGCGTGACTGAAGAGAGGGATGGGGTGAAGTGCAGACTCTGAGTGGAACAGGTCTATGGGTAGCACTGCCATTTGTCCTTGTCTCCCCAGCACCCAGCACCCAGCACCATGCTCACACACATTGGAAGCGTAAGTCACTGAGTAGATGTGTGTCTGAGTTCTTTACCGACATCAAATCAGGCTGGTTGTGCCAGCATTTCCTCTTTTCAGTAGCAGTCATGTTTTGGCATGGCTCACCTGGGCGTTTTGCTGGCAGGGAGCAGAGCTCCCTTTAGTGAGAGACTACTTGCATCTCTTGTGAAATTCTCCAGTCCCATCCAGAAGTGAAGCTGGGAGTTCTGGAGGTGGGAAAAAAGGGGCAAGAAGAACGAATCCAGAAGCCTTGAGAGAAGATATCAAATGACCAAGTTGGAGGCAGGGGAGGTGGTAGGATGGATATGCCCATGGGCGTCCCAGCTTCTCAGAGAACCCCCCACACCGGGTGTGGCACAGGAGAGGCAGAGCAGGGCACCTGAGGGTTCTGGTGGGCAAGGACATGGCTGTGAGGGTCTCACTGGTGCCCATAGGGAGGGAGGGAGGCAGGAAGAGCGCTGCATCTGTTTCCTATCGCTCGGGAACAAACCACCCAATCATGTAGCCCATAAATCTGCAATTTAGGGTGACTCGGTGGGAAGGGCTTATCTCTGCTCTGTGCAATGTCAGCTGGTTCAGCCGGAGCTGGAGCATCCATTTCTGAGATGGCTAGCAAGTTGGTGCTGGGCCAGCGCTGGGGACCAAGGCCTCTCAGTTCCTCTCCATGAGGCCCC